TTTTTTTTTTTTTTTTGGCTAGTTCACTGAGAAAATGAGATTTGATATTTTTTCCAGTAACACCAGTGAAACTCACAGTGGCAGAGACTACACACAAAATTTTATATGATAACATTAAGGAAGCAAATGCTTTTTTGTTGTTAAAATTCACATGAGAAAGACTTGTGAAAGTGGAAAAAATGAGTGGTTCATCAAAATTGAAAAAAATTTGGATTGGTTAATTGTGAAATATGGAAAAATCAATGGAGTTAAACTTGCTAATGGAAACCAATGAGGTAAACAATTTTGGCAAAAGGGCACCCATATTAGTTTTACATTTTGTGTAAAAATATAGCACCATAATCTTAAGGCCAAAATAGGGAAGCTTAGAACATTTAAATTTCTCAGGTTTTGGAGGAATGGTACTAACTAGTGCTTACTTTTCACCCCACCAAGGCTGGCAGTGCCCCTGAGCTCAGCTCACAGGGGTGCACCCTCTCTCAGAATCATGCTGTTAGGTTTGGGAACTGCCCCGTCCTTCCGCTTGGACCACAGGTAAGGGAAGTTGTTGCTTGACCAGAGAGTGCCCCCTCTGAGGAGAGGGGCCTGAAGGGAGCGATCCCTGGCCCTGGATTACCTGGATGCTCCGAGATAACCCCTTGGCTACTCTTTGAGGAAATGGAGTCGGGGAGAAAAGAGGAAGCGAAGGATGAACTTGAGCCTTAGGCCAGATGGGTTAGGAGCTAGCTTGTAGGTTGGCTCAGGGAGGATGGGCTATATCTTGCCTTTATTCATCACACCCAAAGTGGCCTGGGCACAGGGCTTTTAGAAGCAGAAGACCTGGGGCCTGACAGGGTGGAAGGGAAGAAAGAAGTCTTTCCTAGGAACCCACACATGGAAAACCAGGACTATGTGGCCCCACTGGTGAAGGTAATAATGGCAGCTAACATTGTATTCTGAGTGTTTTATTGAACACTACTTTGCTGCAATAAGTCTTGGGCACTAGGTGAGGATAACAGCAGTGGACAGGACATGTAGAGCCTGCTCTTAGAAACCATACTTCCTTGTGGGAGGAGGCTGACCTCAAGGAGACTGTGAGTTCAGAAGTCTGCAAGTGACAACAAAGACACTTGTTTAAAAAGATCACCCTGGCTGTTGTGTGAAGATTACAGTATAGAGAGAAAGCAGGAGGCTAGAAGTCCCGCTGGACAGTAATGCAGCTTTAGGAGCAAGAGAGTAGCATCTTGGACTAGGATGGAAGCTCAGGAGGGAAGACTTGGGTGGACTTGGAATCCATTGAGGAAGCAGAGCTTGTAGATAGGATGGAAGAGGGTGAGGGGAAGAGGAATCTGGTGATTGGGCTGCAGCAGGTGGTGGACAGCCAACGATGCTGTTTGTTGAGACCAAGAAGGGTAAAAAATGAACAGGCACTGGTGGTGTGGACATTGAAAGTTCTGGTTTTGCCATGTTATATTTGAGATGCCTGTGAGGCACTCAAGTAGATCTGCAGTGGGAAAGTCTACATGGGATAAAACATGCAAGTTGTTGGGATGTAAGTGGTATCCAAGGGCTGGGTAAAGCACAGAGACACTGGGTCTTAGAGTGGTGGTTTTCAACTGGAGACACTTTTGCCCCCTTTCTTGTAGGGGGCCCTTCACAATGTCTGGGATACTTTCTGTTTTAGCTAAGGGAGGTTGCTACTGGCCTGTACTGCTTGGAGGCCTGGGATGTTGGTAAACATGTTGCAATCCTCTGGCCAGCCCCCTAGTAACAAGTTATCTGATTCCAAATGTTGGTGGCACTGGGGTTAAGACACCTGGTCCTAGAGTGAGAAAAGAAGACCGGAGAGCAACTTGACTGGGAGGAGGGAAGCTAGAATGATGTGGAGTCCTGGGAAATGAGTGTGTTTGGAGCAGGGAGAGTGTTCAACCTCATTCCGTTGCTGGAAGAAGCTGAGTCATTTGAACACAGAGAGGGTGACTAATGGTTTAGGTGAGAAGGGACCCTTTTGCTGACCTTAAGGAGACCAGTTTATGGTCTACTGGGGTCAGAAGCTCAGGGGTAGAAGTTTACTTCAGTAGGTAACTCTTGCTGATCATTTCCTCCCTGCTCAGAATTCTTTCCTGGGAAACTTCATTAGCCCCCATGCAGCAGGCAGGTATTTTATGCTCATTTTATAGAAGGGCCAATACTATTATTGCTCCAGGTTTCCAGAGGTGGAAACTGAGGTATAGTGAGGTTAATTATTCCTCAGTCAGGAAGCTGGCACTAACTGGCAGAGCCAGGATTGAGACCTAAGAATTCGACACTACTGAAAGTTAGGGAGTGGAGCCAGTGAACAGACATGTTTGAGAAACCTTGTTAAAAGGGACCAGAGATGTCATGGGGACAAGAGGATGCTTGTGTACCAACAGGAAAGGTCCACGTGGAGGCTGAGATGGATGTTGGGAGGTGGGGGAGCTGAGAACCAAGGTCTTGAGGAGGCTGACCTTTCCTAGAGCACCATGCTGGTTGCTCTGCAGACTGGAGCAAGATTACCCCAGACTCAGCTTCTCTCCCACCTGCCCACTGCTGGCCTCCAGAGGCTCTGCTCTACACTCTGTTGCCTCCCTCTGAAAGATGCAGGTCTAACCCTTCTAGAAATTGCCAAGGAATCTACATCCCTGGAGCAGCTCAGCTCTGCCCTCAGGAACCAGAGCCCACCCCTGAACACATGGATGACTCCCTGTCTGACTTTGTCACAATCCTTAGCTCAGCCTCTGAGGTTCCTCCATATCATGGCTCACCACTCTGAGCTGCTGCCCAACCAGGCTCCTTTAACTGAGGGGATGGGGTCACTTCTGCTCCCAAGAAAATGTTCTTTTCTTCACCCCTTCTCCCTGCTCCCTCTCGCCCAGCCTGCTTTCTGTCCAGGTGGCAGTCACGTTGCTCTTCATCCCCTCCAAAAGACTCCCTACCCCACTTTGAGCACATTTAATCCAGTCATTCTCGTCACTTTGTAAAAACAGTCTGGAAGTCCTCTTTTTTCTTCTTCTTCTTGGTACCAGGGATCAAACTCAGGACCTTGCACTTGTGAGACAGGCATGGTGCCACTGAGCTAAATCCCTGGCTCTGGAAGTTCTCTTTTGTGAATATCTTTAGTTGTGCTGTTGTGACTGCCTTGATGTCCTGAATTGATTTGAAATGTTTTCCTTTCATGGTCATTTTGACTTTGCAGAAGAGCCAGAAGTCACACAGTGCTAGACCTCGTGAACAGGGTGGATAAGGACACACAGTAATGTTTTTACAAGCCTGCTTTTCTGTTGGACGGCACTTGCAGCAGCATGCATCATATTTTTAATCACACCTCATGAAGACACAAAAGAGAGCTTCCAGAACTGCTTCAGAAAGTGGCAATGACATTGGGGTAAATGTGTTCAAAGCAAAGTGGAACATATTAAGGGGGCTTAACGGCAGTGTGTCTTTTACAATAATACATTCAAAATGGTTTAATGTTCACTGTATTTTTCAGTCATTCTGTGTGGCTCCATATATTGTATTCAGTGTTTTATTCTACTCTGTACACATTTCGCTATGAAAGTTTGAAGGCTTCTTGATTATTAAGTTTGAATCTGTGCTATGAAGTGTTTGATTCAGTATTTTATTTCGTGGTCATTCGTCTTACCTAGAAAGAGGCATGTTAAACTTGTGCATTGTTCATTCTTCCCACTAGGATGGCTGATTTGGTTTTTTGTGAACCAACAGAGCTTTACAACATCTTAAATCAGGTCACAAAACTATCCAGATTAACTGAACCCAACTATCTCTGTTTATTTGGTAAGTACAAAAGTAAGCACGCAAACAGCATTATTTTTGACAGATTAACAAATTGTAGAAAGCTGCTATGTTCGTTGGCTCAGATGCTACTTTTTATTGTTATAGTATACAACTTGGAAATCATCCTAGATTAGCTCCAGAAGTTCTTAAAGACTGGTCTAGTCCTCTTGTTACTGTTTTAATTAACTATTTTAAACATCATGTGCGGTAATATAATGGGCACCCTTGTACATCTACTCAGATTTGGCATAAAATATTACAAACACAGATATACCCCTCTTTTGTACCTCATTATGATTGCATTTTTCTCTCCCTATAGATAATTGCTTCAGTATTTTCACATTTTTGCTACATATGCAGGTATCCCCCCAAAATAAGTGGTTTAAACATTTATACAAATGGTACTATTAAGTCCATTCATTTTACAGCTTTGTTTGTTTGTAGTACTTGGAATTGAAACCAGGGCCTTTGCTGTGAGCTACATACTCAGACCTTTTTATTTCTTATTTTAAGACGGTCTCTCTAATTGCAAAGTTGTCTAGGCTGGGTTCAAACCTGTGATCCTGCTGCTTCAGCCTCCCACAGTGCATGTCTGAGATTACAGGTTGTACCGCTGTGCTTGCCTTTTTATTTTTTGTCAAAAAACATATTTTTTTAGTTTTCCCATGTCTGTATGTGTTATCTACTTAACTTATTTTAACTGTTAATTGGGATTTGTATCTGTTCCCAATTGATTGCAACATGTTGCTTGCATTGTGTTGTATTATAAACAATGATGCAGTGAACAACTCTGCAAATCTTGCCTTATTCCTATGTGCAAAAGTTTCTTCAATATATATACCTACAAATGAGATTGCAAGGTGACAAATTCAACTTTACTAACTTGTCATCAAATTAGCCTGCAAAGGGATTGTGTCACTTTATACTCCCATCCAAAAAAAAAAAAAAAATCAAACAAAAAACCTAGCTTTGCCAGCCTTTAATATTTGTTTTAATCTGATGCATATAAAATTATGTGATGGTGCTTTAATTTTCATTTCCACAGTTAATAGTATTGAGCATCTTTGTATGTTTATTGATCATCTTGGTTTCCTATTTTGTGAAGAACCTATTTGTATTTCTCTGTTTTTCTATTGGGTCATTTCTCTTTTTTGGGGGTAGTACTGGGGATTGAACCCAGGAACTTCATACTGAGCCACATCCTCAGGCTCTTGATTTTTTATTTTGAGACAGGGTTTCACTAAGTCATTAAGTTTACCCAGGCTGGGTTCAAACTTGTGGTCCTCCTGACTCAGCCTCCCAAAGTGCTGGGATTATAGGCAAGTGCCACATGTCCAAGCCTCTCTTTTTTTATTATTTATTTATTTATTTTTGGTACTGGGGATAGAACTCAGGACCTTCTGCTTTCAAGGCAGGTTGTGGCACCACTCAGCTAAATCCCTGGCCCACTCTCTTTTTTTTAAAAGGCTGAGTGATACTCATATGCTTATCTATATCTCTCTGTATCTTGTGTTTTCTTTATCCATTTATCTGTCAATGGACATCTAGGTTGTGTTCATATGTTGGCTCTTGTGAATAATATAACAGTGAACATGGAAATGCAGATATCTCATTGAGATACTGATTTGCTTACCTTTGCCTGTGTACTCAGAAGTGGGATTGCTGGGTCATATTGTGGTGCTAGTTCTAATTTTGTGGGGAAATTTCTGTATTGCTTTTCATAATGGCTGTATTATGGAAGGAATTGGTAAATGACATGTACAGAGATGTAGAATGGAAGTAAAATAATAAAAAGTTTATTTTGTCAGCAAAAGGCTGATCGCACAAAAGCAGTGCCCGTGACCGACCCTGACTGGGTTGCAGCTTCTACTTTTATAGGTTTCACAGCTCTGATCTCATTCAGGTGGTTACATTTCATTGCCTTTGTTCACATTGCCCATGTACAAATTACAGTAACAAGACAGTTAACTTTAACCCAGATGTAACAATACCTTGTAGTTAGGGAGTTTACCTTAAGATTTATCTATTCTAGTGCACAGGAGCGGGGTGGTCAAGGTCAGGGATGGATCCAGATGTCCCATTTCATGGTCAGTGCCTCCGATGTCTGTTAATTTTGAACTAAACAAAGCAGATTGCTTTAAGAGACAGCAGAAGTTATTTTATATTTTCCTAACTTTTTGTAGGATTTTAGATTATTTACCAAAGTTTGCTCTATCAGCTGTACCTATTTACATTCCCCCAACAACATATAAGGGTTCTAGTTTCTCTACATCCTTACCAACACTTATCTTTTGATTGAAAATAATCTAATAGGTGTGAGTGATAATGTTATTTTGCTTTTGATTTTTCATTTCCCTGGTTAGTGATGTTGAGCAACTTCTTGTTTTGGTGATTTGTATATCTTGTTTCGGAAAATATCTATTTGTGTCCTTAGCCTGTTTGTTAATTTGTATAACTTGGGGTTTTTGCTATATATAGATATAGATATATATTTTTTGGGGGGGTATCAGGGATCGAACACTTGCAAGGCAGGCCACCGAAATGCTGAGCTAAATCCCCGGCCCAAGTTCCTTATATATTTTGAATACATGTAGCCTTATCAGACATGTTGTCTGCAAATATTTTCTCCCATTCTGTGGATTGTCTTTTCACTCTTTGATTATTTCCAGTGCAAAAGCTTTTTAGTTTAATGCAGTCCCCTTTGTCAATTTTGTTGTTGTTTGTGTTTTTGGTGTCACTTTCAAAAAATAATTATTGCTCAGACCAATATTAAGAGCTTTCCCTCTATATTTCCTTTTAGTGGCTTTACAGTTTCAGGTCTTACATTGAAGCCTTTTTTTTCTTTCAAAGTCTTAAATCCATTTTGAATTATAGGCACGAACCCCACACCCAGCTCAATTTCTCTAATTTTTTCAATAAAGAAAAAAACGTTCTACTCCAGCTTTTAGTTTGGAACTGCTATTGCACTACAAGTTATCTTCTCCATAGTCAGCGTTCATGTCACCTGGGTTCTACTGGGGTTTGTTTTATATCCCCAGTCCCTTCTCATTTTCTTGGCAGAAGCTTTACATTTTAACAAAGTTCATCTTATGGATTATTTCTTTTATGGTTTGGAGCCTTTTCTGTGTTGTATCTAAAAAGTCATTGTTAGAACCTCATCTAGATTTTCTCCTAGGTTATCTTATAGGACATTTATTTATTTATTTATTCATTTATTCATTCATTCATTCCCCAGTACTGAAGTTGGAGCCCAGAGCCTTTCTTTGCACTGAGCTACATCCCTACTTTTTTTTTTTTTTTTTTTTTTTTTAATTCTGAGACATCATCTCACTAAGTTGCTGACAAGCTTGTGATACTCCTGTCTTGTAAGGGTTGGGGGAAATGGACATCTCTGGAAACTCCTGCAGTAGGTCCCAGCCTCCTGTGAGGCACCACATCACCAGCTAAAGGTTAAAGAACAGACAGAGCGAGACTTATAGTGAAGCTGAGTCTAAGCTCCTGGCCAATGCTGCTGATGGCAGCAAAGACAAGGCTCCCAAGCACATCCAGTATTTATTGAATACAATCATGAGAAGGAATAGGGAGCTAGGGAGCTTTGAAGGCATCTAGCGATGCTGAACACCTGGCATGATGGCGCCAGGCAAGGCTGTTAGGGAGTCGGCACTGCTTATCTTGCTAGGATAGAAGAAACTGGTACTGGGACCAGGTGCAATTAGCAAGCAACCCACAAGGTCAGTGAGAAGCTATAATTCAGGGGAAAGGGTTTTAACTGCGGTCACGTTGACCTCAGCTGCACGTAATTCAGCAGGGCCCTGGCACTTCACAGACCAGGATTTAGGCCTCGGTGACAGCCATTAGCAAAGGAGCAGTGCTAGCCCAGCTCTCCTAGCTGACATGCCCGTTTGAGTCACACAGGGCTTTGGTCTGACTCCTGATATAAAACAGTATAGCTGAGTTAGGGAAGGCAGGAAGCACGTGCCACTCATAGCCCTCTAGTACTGGGCAGGGATGTTTGCTATACTGCCTCAGCCCTCCAGAGTTCTGGCATTTGAGTTCTGGAATTGAGGTCTATGATCCCTTTTAAGTTAATTTTTGTGAAGGGTGTCAGATCTGTATCTTTTGCCTGTGGATGTCCAGTTGTTCTAGCAGCGTTTCTTCTTTTGCCAGCACCATTGTCTTGATTAATGTAGCCTTGTGAGTGCTGAGGTTAGGTAGTGTTAGTACTACATGTTTGTTTTCCTGAGTTGGCTGTTTTGGGTCTCTGGACTCTCCATACCCACGTGGTTCTTAATTTTTGTTTGTGAGTTCATCTTTTCATAGGAGCTTTGAAGGTGTCCCTACAGAAAGGTTTTGTGACTTATCCTAAGCCCTCAAAATTTCAGTGGAACAAGTTTTTGTGCATAAAACAGGCCTGGTTTCAGTTTCTTGTGGAAAGTTTTTTTTAACCCCTTACCTCACCCTTTTCCCACAAATAAGGGAGAGATCTCGAAGATTTAAAAATTTTTGCATTACGCTAAGTTCCTGTTCCGTGTTCCTCCCAACTGTAAGGAAAGCCAACACCAGCACTGTGAGGATGTCAGCTCATGCTTTCTAGAGTCTGAGTTGGGATCTAAAATTCACTGGGCACCTAGCTCAGTTTGCCTTTGCAGTAATATCCCCTGCATCCCCCTTTTTTAGACTTCAGAAAACTCTTACTTCTAACTCAAAACCACAGTCTCGCTGCCCCTTAATGGGGTGTGTGGTTGCAAGTATGATGGGCAGGGTGTTTAGGAGCAAGCAGCTCACAGTGAGGAGACTACAGACTTCAGCATTCAAACTGACCACAGCTGTCACCTCTGGCCAAGCAAATGTATTGTGACAGGAGAGTTCTCTGAGTCATTTGGTCATGTGTTCCTTTTTAAATCCAATTCTGAACGAAGCCCTTTCCTTTCCAGATGTCCGCTCCAAGTGGGAGTATGATGAGAGCCACGTGATCACCGCTCTTCGCGTGAAGAAGGTACGCAGGGAGTCAGAGTCCCAGAATCTGGGGCAAGAGGGTAGGAAGGAGTGGGAGGTGTCATGCTCCGGCCTGAGGTGGCCCTTCCTGGGACACTGGGCAGCAGGGATTGCACTGTTGTCTGTAATTCCACCATGGTGTCCTCCACACCCTTCACACTTCCTGCCCAGCAAACACTGATATCATTCCGTGCTGTACCAGGCCTGGGGGTATCTCAGGGTACAAGGTGTCCTTAGTCCAGTGTCCCCACCCTCATGGAACTTCTGTTCTCCTCTGTGAGCAGACTCCAAACCATGGAGGTATTTAATAGACTTAAACATGGAAGCCCCTCCTTTTCTTCCCTTCCTTCCCTCCTGTTTTCCTGTCTTCATTCCGGCAGTGGACAGCGCCCTGTGTCCAGGTGCCATCTGCCTTCTGTGGTCAGGCCCCTTTCTCTGTAGGGCATCCGCCCCTCATGTGGTTGCAGCGGCAGCCTCTGCAGTCCTGGGCATAGTCTGCCCTTGGCTTTGAGCATCTTGCTTACTTCTCCCATTTCTTCTTTGTCCCTTTGCTTCAGCTTTATTTTCTTCTTGTGCTGTCTGAAGATATCTGCTGCTCTTTCTCTCCTGTCAGGATAGTTTCTTAGCGGAGATTCCAGGCAAGTTCACAACTTCAACTATCCTCATGTAATTAGGGGTCCTGTCAAGTTTGCTTCTAAAATCTGGTCTTGAAAATTCCCTCGTCCTCCCTTTTCCCGTACCCCTGAGCTGTGTGCACTCTACCTCTGGCCCTTTTTCTGCATGTAATTCAGCAGGGACCCTGGGCCCTGGCTTAAGTATTTTTCCAGAATAAACTTACTGCCTAATGCCCTGTTCCTCATCTCAATCTGTCATTTTCTGCTTTAAGTCTCCTTGGAATTTCAATTCTCTGGCTCTGTACTTGAGTTCTTAACCCTCATTTCAGGCCTTTCTCTGATTCTGAGCCCTCCTTGAAGCCTAGGCCTCAGTTCTCAGCTCAGCTCTGTGTGCCTTAGGTTCTGGCAGCACCCCAAGGTCTGGGAAGCAGGCAGTCTCTCTGCCTCTGTCCCTCAGAACCTCTCATCCAGGCCGATCTCTTTCCTTTCCCTCCCTTACTTTCCAGTTAGCAGATTGAGGCCTTCAGGGACCCTCACAACTTAGGGTTCACAGCCCCCCTCTCTGGCTCCAGCTCTGACACATTTTTGCTGTCACCCAGCACCTGAATGATCCTACCTTACTGGTTTTCCTTTCACTTATTTCCTCCACATTGTAACTTTTTGGTGGGGAGGGTTTGAGACAGGATCTCACTATGTAGCTCATGCTGGCCTTGAATTCATGGCAATCCTCCTGCCTCAGCCTCCTGAGGGCTGGCATTACAAATGTGCACCATCACGCCCAGCCTTATTTTAACATTTTTTGGAGTTGGAACACATTTTAAATTAATTTGTACTTTTTAAAAAAAGCAGTACTGGAGGGCTGGGGATTTAGCTCAGTGGTTCTGGTGACTGCCTTGCAAGTGTAAGGACTTGAGTTCGATCCCCAGTACCAAAGGGGGGGAAAAAAAAGAGCAGTGCTGGAGATTGAATTCAGAGTCTTTGTACTGAGTGACGTGACATCTCCAGCCTTTTATTTTTAATTTTTAAAGAAATTTTGAGATAGAGTCTCACTAAGTCTCTAAGCAGCCCAGGCTGGGTTTGAACTTGTGATCCACCTGTCTCAGCCTCCCAGAGTGCTGGGATTACAGGCATGGGGTTTGATGTGTTAGTGTTTTTTCCCCGCAAAGTGGGTATGACAGATAACTGTTGTTTTCCTGGCCACAGCCCTCCTTTCTTGAGGGGAACTTTTCATCTCTCTGCTTAATCTGTGGAATTCTGGTGGTGGTCCCTAAAATAATAGCCAGATCTCTGGCTTGAGATGGAAACTGAGTCAATCAGCATTGGAACTAGAGAAGGGCGTGTCTTTCCAACCAGGCAGTGGAATTTATACATTAACCTTTACCATAGATATGTACATGTAGATGTAGAGCTTGGTATTATGTGTGGATTCAGGTGTCCACAGAGGGTGTCTCAGAACATAGTCCTGAGGTATGTATTGAAATATGCCAGTAAGTCCCTCCATGTGTGGGTGGCCCTGGCTCCTGCCCTGGGTAAATTGGTGGCATGTATTACATCCATGTTGTCTGCAATCTGGTCTCAGTGGCTGCTATTTTGGGCCACAGAGACTCTGTTCTGAGCACAGCAACCCATTTGCTTTTCCAGTCACTGTATGGCAAGGGCTCAGCCAGTCCTTGACATGTGGTAAGTGCTCAGTATGTATCTGTTGGCTACAGTAAGTGGCCAGAAGCCACTCCTCTTGCCTGGCGCACTTCACAGTGCTTGTCCACCTGGTGCCTTTCTGCATGGTCTGAGTTGCCTCCTACTCCGTGTCACCCTTCTGCTCCTGCGGGCCGATTTAGGCATTTCTTGTTGGTTTGAGGCCTCTTTGTCAGCTAGACCAGGTTGCCAGGAACAGCATCAGCTCAGGCTTCCCTTAGTCATGGATTATGGGGAGCACTGTGAGCAAGTGGGGATTCTCAGATGTCCAGCCAGGGTCCTCAGTTTCCAAAACATCTGTTAAAATCCTGAGTAGTTCAAGTACCAGGAGGTCACATCCTTTCCCTAGGTGACCTCATCCCCTTCCTCAAGTGACCCCATCACCTAAGCAACTCTTTTTCTTGCCCTGTGATCCACATTTTTGTGATTTAGCCACTCCCTGACTACCTTTCACTAACTCCTGTCTACCTCACGGTCTGTTTACCATTCATTCATTTAACCATCTTCATGCCTGCCATGCACTAGACACTGTCTAGAAGCTCAGGATGTGTTGGTGACTGATACAGACTCAAGCCTCTGCTCTTGCAGGGCTTATATTAAATTCTGCAGTCCTCTCCTGACATCTGTTTGCTCACGACTTCTGCTTACTCATCCCTGCTGCTTACTACTCTCTAATGAGGAATTGAGATTTGTTCCCTCTCAAGAAACAGGATATCATGATTTAGCTGGGCATAGTTACTTTGACACCAGGGCACCCAAGAGGTTGTGGGCCCATTGATAGGGCAGCTTCTCTTTGGTCAGGCACCTACCTCTGTGCCAGCCCCATTCAGCCCTGTCCCTGTCCTGGCCACTCTTGATGTTTTCAGCCTATATGTTGACAGGGGAAGGAGCAGTCCTTGCCCCAAATACTTTGTGTGTGTGTGTGTGTGTGTGTGTATGTGTGTGTGTGTGCGTGTGTGCGTGTGTGTTTGGTACCAGGGATTGAACTCAGGTGCTTGCGCTTGCAAGGCAGATGGCAGAACCACTGAGCTAAATCCCCAGCCCCCAAATACCTTCTGATGCAGTGTGCTGGGAATGCCTGCTCCAGCACACCGCCTGGCAGCATGCCTCTGTGTGCTTCCCTTAGAAGGGCGGTGAGTACCTCATCCCGGAATCTGTGGACCTGGAGTGTGTGAAATACTGTGTGGTCTATGATAACAACACTAGCTTCATGGAGATGTTTGTAAAAGATGCCGTGTCCGAGGAGGAGGAGGAGGATGAAGAGGACAACACTAATGAGCGTGGCAAAGGTGAGTTTTTATGGCTGCAGCAAGAATGACAGGTAACAGTCACCAAATGCTGTTAGCTGGGCGAGGAGCTGTGACGCCAGGTGCTTTACCTCCTCACAGGACACTGGGTTAGCCTGGCCCTGGCTGAGACAGGAGACTCTTGGGTCAGAGACAAAGGACTGCATCACTCACCGCAGTGGAAGGAGCCAGAATGCCATTAGTTTCCTGTACTGGGTCCTCAAGCCCCAGTCTCACAGAGTAACATGGAAAGGGCCAGGTGATGCCCACAGTGGGTGGCATTACAGGGAAAGGACCTTGAGCCTAGAAGCCCCAAGGTGAGGGAGGATGTTCTGTCATCCAAGCCTGTCAGCACAGATCTCCTGAAGAGATGGGGAGGAACTAAAGCAGCCGGGGCTGTCTTCACAGGACATGCAGAAGCGTGAAAGGCCAAGAGAACTGTGCCCTAACAGGTGCTGTCACCCCCATTTTGTAGATGGAGACACCGGCACCCAGGGAGGTACAGTTCCTCACCCTAGATCCCACTCTTGGTGACTTAGTTATCCATTGCTGTGTAACAAATTATCCAGAACTCTGCAACTGAAAACAAATATTCATTATCTTACTGTTTTCATCTTCTGAATTCAAGGGGCCATGCAGGTGGGAGGTACAGGGTTTTTCTCAAAATCAAAATTTCAGCCCCAGGCAGCTGCTATCATTGAAGATTTGGACCCGGATGACCCCAATCCAAAATGACTCACTGCCGTGGCTACACCCAGGAGCCCCTGGTTTCATTCTGCTGGTTGCTGGAGGCCTCAGCTTCCTACCACAAGGACTTCCCCCGTATGATTGCTTGAAGGGCCCCCAACATGGCAGATGGTTTCCTTGAGAGTAAGTGGTCTGAGACAGTGGGGTCTTTGTGACCTGGTCTCAGGACTTAATGTTCATTCACCACTGCCATAGTTCAGTCATTAGAAGTAGGTCACAAAATCCAGCCCACCCTCAAGGGGAAGACAGACAGCCTGAACTTTTAAGGGAAAGCATTTAGAAGAACTCGTGGATCAAAGCCCAGGCAGCATTGTGGGGTCCAATCTCCCATGGCTGGGACAGTAACACTGGAGAGGAACCCAGCTTGGGGTTGAGGCTGTAGAATGTGGCCAGACCTAAGGTGTTCCACTAAAATTCTGAGGCTCTGCTGTTCTTTTCAGCCCCTAGATTGGGAGTGACCACCTCTTGCCACTGGGTGGTGCTAAGTCTGCCATTGATGAAGCCAGTCTTGGGATTTCCATCCCAGGAGCTCCTTGGCCAGGAAATGTCCTCTTGGGCTCTGGTTTACAGTCCTAGGATTACAGGCCCGACCCTGAAACCAAGGGGAATGGTGGTGAATAAAGATAGCCCCTTTCTGTTCTCTCACTGACTGCTCAGTAGGAAACCACAGCTACACATACCACACAAGGTAACTTTCCTCATTTACAATGACCTCTTTCAGGTAAATGCAGTATTTTGGGTACAAGACCATTTCCCTGTTTCTTTCACCACCTTCCTCCTAACAATGAAACAGAAAGCCATTGTGAAACACCTGCTTCCTCTGTCCCAAGGAGAACTACCCAAAGAGCGGTCCTTCTCACACCCTAGGAGCAGTTGTGAGGTTACAAGCTGTTATGTGTGCATGAGTCCTTTCCTGCCTGCCTTCCTGGATGTGGGCTGCTGTCCTTGATATAACCAGGGCTGAAGTGCCCATGGCTGGTAGAGGTCATGAATGGTCCATTGCACCTGGTGTTTGTCCTCCTGGGCTGCTGGTGCCCTGGGTCCTGCTGCATCTCCCCATTATTCAACCACCACCTCCTTTGCCTGGAGGCTGCAGAGTTCCCAGGGGAAAATGGGTCACTGGCTGGTTTCAGGAGCCTTTGCCCTGGAGGTTTTTTCAGCCTCTGTCTTTTCCCCTTCTTTCTTCCCTCCCTTTTTTCCTTCATCCATCCCTCCCTCCCCTTCTTCCTTCTTTCCTTTTCTTCCAATCTTTTCTCTTTTTCTCCCTTCCTTCTATCCCTTCTTCCTTCTTCTCTGAGGATTGAATCTAGGGGCACTTTACCACTGATGTACATTCCTCAGACCTTTTTTTTTTTTTTGGAGACAGTTTCTCACTAACTTTCCCAGGTAGAATTTGAAATTGCAACTTCTTGCCTCAGCCTTGCAGAGTGCTGGAATAATAGGCATTCATCACTACACCTTGCTTAGCTGGTGTTTCTTTTTTTTTTTTTTTTGCGGGGGGGGAGCCCTGCTCTTGAATTCTGGGACTTTCTCTCCAAGCTATATTCTCTTCTTTTATTAGAGAGATTTCTCTTAATGTTGCGTCATCCTCTCTTGCCGAATGGTGGGTTCTAGGCCCTCAAGCCAGGTTCCTGACCTAGGAAAGGACCTTTGGGGACTTCCTGTTTCAGTGGAAACTTCATGACCATTGCTAGCTAAAGAATCCAAAGAATTTAATTTAAAGCCCCCTCCCCCAAGCAGGGAGCCCCTGGTTCTGAGTGGTGTCCCCTCCTCTTAATGCAGTAAGTACCCCAGTTCATAGTGGAAAACACATGCTGAGAACTGAAAATCCATGGAGCAAAAAGGAATGGATTTAATTTTAACTGTGTTACCTCCTTCTGTGGGAAAACCTCTGCTTGTCCATAGTGAATGGTTCATGTGGCTGAAGTACATCCTGAGTCTGCTTGGCAGGGTAGCCTGGGCCCTGCAGGGTTCCTGATGGCCACTTGGAAGCTGTCCTTCCTCCTGCCTCCAGCAGGCTTGAGGCGGCCGTGGGAAGGGAGTGGTGGTGTGACCCGGAACTCCTTCCCACTTCCCCTGGGCCCTTGGACCCAAGTTTCTGCTTAAGAGGGACATGGCAGGTGCTGGTTACCCATTGCTGGACTCTGAGATGTCTGAGGCAGGCCCTGGGCTGGGCTTTGGCTCCTGTCTTGATGCCGGCAGCTTCTCTCCTAGCCTGGTCCACACCTCCACTCTCCAGACTTCCCAGAACCTGCAGGGAGCTGCCCAGTCTCCTGAACAAAGTGCCGTGTGGAAGTCAGGTCTTTCTACACAGCACTGGCTCCTCCAGCAGCTGCTATCCCAATATTTCTCTTTCTGGGTCAGATCTTGGATCACAGCGTCTTGACTTAGCCTCCATGATGCCTGTTTAGCATGTGGTCTGATGGTCATTCTGCAGATCTGTGGTGTTGTTCATGGTTAAATTGCTTTCACACCATAATGGGCTACTGCTTCATACCCTCTGGGATGGTCATAATAAAGATAACTGGTCTTGTCACAATGAGAGGAATTGGAACCTCATGTACTACCACCCAGAATGTAAACCAGAGAAGCCACTGCAGAAAACAGTTTAGTGTTTCCTCAAAGGTTTAAGATGCACACTCAAAAGAAATGAAAACGCATACACACAAAAACTTGTGCCATATTCATAGCAGCACTATTCAGAATACCCTGAAGTGGAAACAACATAAATGTCCATCAGCAGGTTGGGTTAAACAGAGAAGCAAAGCTGCAAGGGGGAATATTATTTAGCCATAAACAGGAGTGAGGCATTGATACAACCTGAGACAGAGATAGACACCAAGGAGATTATGGTGCCTGATAGAAGACAGACACCAAATGTCGCATATTAGTTCTGTTTATATGAAATGTCCAGAATAGGCAAGTCCATAGTGAAATTAGGTGGTTGCCTAGAGCTTGGAATACCTAAAGCTGGGAGTTTAGGACAATGGAGAAGTGCCTGCTAACTGGAATGGGGTTTCTTTTGAGGATAATGAAAATGTTCTAAAACTGACTCTCATGATGGTTATGCAACTCAGTGAATACACGAAAAAACCCTGAATTGTATACTTTATTATTATTATTTTTTGAATTGTACACTTTAAATGGGTGTTTGCTGTATAACCATATATCCAAAAAGTCTACTTGGTGATTTTTAAAAATTCGGTTGTACCATTTTTCTCTTTTTACCTTACTTCAGCTTCCTAAATAATTGGTTTTCAGAGGAAGTGGCTGTCTACATACCAGAGCTAGAAAAGTGCCAAGCACACAGGTCATTTACATCTTTGGTCTCCATCCTTAGATCTGGTATCTGGAGCAGCTGTGGAATATGGCAGAATCCTCACCCAGCTCACCCACCACCCTGTGTATATCCTGAGAGGGGGCTATGAACGCTTCTCGGGCCTGTATCACTTCTTCCGGACCCAGAAGATCATCTGGATGCCCCAGGTGATCAAGGCTGAGTACCACCTGGCTCAGTTGGGAAGCGTGGCTGGGAACAGAGAGGTTGGGAGGGCAGAGGAGATAGAGCATGTGGAGGAAATGGAGGGAGCCAGGCAGCTAGGGGCTGGCCAGGGGGTTCAGTTTGTGGTGATGAATTCACGGCTGTCAGTTGTGGCAAAGGTGTCCGAGGAGGAGTGTAGACGGGGCTCTACCCTAAGTCAGATGGGCAGGCCTCGTGGTTCATACCCTCTGGGATGGCAGAGGAATTGGAACCTCACGTACTACCACTCTAGGCTGTGTGGTTCTTCAAACCCTAGCTGGGTGCATGGAATCCAGAAAAGGATGAGATAAGAGTTCTTGCCCATGGAGCTCTTGGTCTATAGGGAAGAAAGTGGTTATAACAAGGGACATGCCAGGTGAGGCATTTTTGAGGAATCCCAGGCTGCCTACTGGTTTGCGGCAGGGATGTGTCTGGAGGATGGGGCGTGTGTGTGTCTGTGTGTGCACGCACACACACACGTGTGTTTGTACTGTATAGACGAGTCCGAAGTACGATGGGATTTAAGCACAAAGTTTTTATTTTTCTGGCATTTTCCTTGGGCTGCTCTTTGGTTCCTGCTCCAAGCTACATCTTGGGCAGATCCCATATTTCCTGGAAAATTTCAGTTACAAAAACTTTCAGTCCAAGTCATTGTATGATGATTGACTAGAGTGAAATATGTATGGGTGCAATTATGTCTAGAATTTCCTTCAAAATAATCAAGCGTGGGTTAGGGAGTCAGAATGATATAGATGAAATAAAATTGGCCATGAATTTATAATGTTCAAAGCTGGGTAATGGAAGTATTTATTGTATTAGTCTTTCTACTTTTGTATGCTTTTGTAAATAAAGGGGGAAAAAAAAACCAATTACAGTAAAAGCCAGAGCAGGCTGGGATTTAGCTCAGTGGTTCTACTGCCTGTCTTGCAAGCACAGGGACCCGAGTTTAATCCCTGGTACAAAAAAAAAAAAAAAAGCCAGAGCAGTTTAACATATCTGTGTCAAATCTCATCTCTTCCCATCTTCCAGAGGTGGGCAGTCTTCATTTTGCTGGGATCCTCGGTGTGAGGAGGGGTGTGGGATTGCTTCAGATGTCCAATAGGAAGGATGTCACTCTGACCCGTCTTGGAGCAACTGAGAAGTCAGGGGACCTGGGCTAGTTCCTGTCTTGTGTGGATGCTATTCTCACTCTGGCCCAGTCATCTGTTCAAGTTGCTGTTCATGGCCTCTACAGCTGGGTTTGCTGGGGTCCTACTTGGCCTCACCCCAACCCCTTCTGTTGCTGAGGATCTCTTGGAGTGAGCCAGCCAGACTCTCCCACCCACTTGCAGGAGTTCCCACATTCTCCCCATCACTGGGAAGCCCCGACCCCACTCCCCCATCCATATTCCCTCTGCTCCATCCTGGATGGTTGGCAGGGGATGTGCTGGTGGGAAAGGGGCCCAGAGGCCTCCCAAGCCCCTCCTCGTCCTCTGGCTCTTCTCTCCAGCTGGCCTGTGTGATAAGATAGGACCTTGTGTCTGAGGTCACCTGTTCCCAAATCCAGAGTGCATATGCCAAACTCTCTGAGGACTTCCCCTTACTTCCACTAAGAAAGCAGCACTTTGGACTTCAGTTCGGCAGTGTCCAGCCAGCCTCCCTGTCCCACCAGGGCTTTGCCTTATTCCTGGAGGACCCCTCTCACCATCTGTTAGCTTTGCGGGCTGTGGTGGGATTGATTGCTCTCTGTAAACATCCGTAAACTGCTGATAAGTCATCACCCCCACACACTTAGTTTAAAGCTTCAGTGAGGTGTGATTGATGTCAGATGAACTGCATGTACTTACAGTGCTGTGTGGTCAGTTCTGATGTATGTGCACATGTTTCCTTGTCCCTTGACCCCAGTCCCATATGATATGGGAAGGAGAGGGCTTGTGGCTGGTAAACAGTCTGAGGACTGGGTGGGCAAGTTGTAGCCCTTTCTGCTTGTATCTGTCTTGAGAACAGAGTGCTTAGCACTTGTCTCTCCCTGACAGGGACCTTTGCTGTCAATCCAGGGGCCAGGTTTTACTCTTCCTTTGGGACGTGGCATTGACCAGACCTGAGGATGTGGGAAAGGGCAGAGACTGGAGTAAGGCCCTGGCTCTGCTGTAGGTGACAGGCAGGCAGTGGTATGGTTCACTGGGATGGGGAATCCTGGAGTGAGGAGGCACTTTTGGGAGAAGACAATCTCAGTGTGGACATGTTTGCTGGGATTCCTTTTTGTTTCTATTGTATCACCTGTCATAGTCAAAGTAGGTGCTTTGAGAAGACACCATGTCTCTATCCATGTCATACCCTCTTCCCAGCCAAACTGATGTAGCTGCAGAACAGAAAGCTGATTTGGAATATAGCAGGAAGAAAGTTGATGGATGGGTTGTGGGCATTTATTGGAATTTTTTCCCAGTGGGACCATGGTGATTCACATGGCTCCAGCAGGCTGGGCCCCCTGGGTAGGGTCAGCCCAGGCTCCATGGTGGGCTTTGGGGCTTGCCTGTCGGCAGTGATGGTATGTGTGGGCTTCTGTACGCTTGTACGTAAATGGTTGTCTTCTTGTTGCTACCTCTTCGTACATTCAGTCGCTTCACTAGAATTCATTTCCTAGTGGCAAATAGTCTGTATGCGAAGAGTTCTACTGTATGTTTAAGAAGTTTAAATTCTGATGCCTCCATGGTAACAGAAGGATTAATGCTCCCCATCCCACCTCATCCCAACTGGACACATTCTGGGTTGTTGAAGGTTTGGCCACAGGGTCCTGGATTCCAACATTTGTGCGCATGGCCAGGCACAGATAGGTGAAGCTATGTTTCAGTCCTTCTGCTCTGACCCACCCTTTCACTCCTCATCCAAGTTCTTTCAGGCTCTTTGAAAGTCCTGCACTCAGCCTCATTCACTGTCCTGGGGTTCCTCTTCTATGCTCGTTTGTGGAGTCACATTTCAAGAGACAATGGGGTCTGTGCTCATAACAGCTCATTTCCTTCCCCATCCTAGGAACTGGATGCATTCCAGCCATACCCTATTGAAATTATACCAGGCAAGATCTTCCTGGGCGATTTCAGCCAAGCCTGCAACCCTAAAGTTCAGAAAGATTTGAGAATCAATGCACATGTCAATGTCTCCATGGAGACCAGTCCCTTGTAAGTAAAAGAGGTACTCTTGATTTTTTTAATTTAAGGCGAAGTATAGTTTCTTTACTCAAGTATCCTAGTGCCATACATCTGAAGAGTCAAAAGGGCTCATGGCAGTCTGCACACAGGGAAGCAGGGACAGCACTGATTTTTACCTCTGCCTGCCTGGTCTTGGCATTCTCTGTCCCTAAGTAGAATCTCACACTGTCCTTTAAATCTCAGCATAAGTAAAGGTTTCCTGGTATTTAAGGTCTTGGTACAAAGTATCCTGTTCTACACTGATTGGCCTGTTTTCAGTTCCCTTAGAAATTCTTCCTTGCCACAGAATTGCCCTGGTGCTACACATGCACATGAGTTCACACACACATGCGCGCGCGCGCGCACACACACACACACACACACACACAGAGTGATACACTCTCATCACTGTTCAGTGGGCAGGAAAGCACTGCACAGCCTAATTTATCAGCCTCTATCTTCTAGCCATGTCCAGTTTTGGTCACCAAGACCCATCCTGTACACTCTGCCCTTGCCAGTCCTAATCAGTTAATAAAGACTTACCTCACAGAATTTCTAGAAAAAACACAAGAGTTCAGCAAGGCATCTGGTAATAAAAACAAAACAAAACACATAAAACCAATAAATTTGTTTTAATGGTATAAAAACAATGACTAAAAAAAAAGAAAAGACCCAATTTGTAATAGGGAAAAATATAATTCCTAGAAATAAACTTAAGAAATATACAGGCCTATACAACATTTTAAGAGGGGGATATTAAAAGATGGATATTAGGAAGACATTTTTGGAGAGGAGGGCTAATGTAGTGATGACAATTCTGTCTAAATTAGCCTATACATTAAAAAAGATTTCAGTCAAAAAGTGAATTACTTGTATGCAACTAGGCAATTTATTCTTAAAAGTTTACATAGAGAACTAATTTGTGATGAGTGAGGATGAGGAGAAAAGGCCAACCTTTCAGCAAGAACAACTAGAAGAGGCTGGACAAAATACAAAACTTTCTTCTGTGTTATGTACTAGAGATAGAGAAAGCAATAAGGAATTAGTGGCCAAAACGTGGAAGGAAGAAGAAAACTAGAGAGATGAGGCCAGATATTGGTGCTGCTTATTCATACAAGGAAGCTGCTGATTTGGGAAAGAAAGAAAGAAAGAGCAAGTTAGAAATGGTATCTGAGAAGATAATGACTGTTTCCAAAATTGATGAGGTACAACAAGCCACATATTCAAGAAGTCTTATGGGCTCCAAGCAGGCTAATGCTAAAGGAATCACCTCTAGGCTCACAGTAGGACTGCTGAAGACTAAAGAGAGAATGCAGTAAAAGCACCAGAGCAAAAAGACCTTTTCAGAGGAGTGATGTTGGATGATTATTGAAACTAGAACACAGAATGCATAATTACGATGGTGGCACAGAGAAGTACTTACCTCCTGGTATTTATGCTGTTGAGTGTGGGCTGTACTGACAGACGCACCTCTAAGGGCTACCAGTCACTTCTGAGATTAGATGACTTCATGCTATGAGCTGCCCTGTGGAGAGGTTCACAGAGCAGGAAACTGAGGGAGACCTCTAAACAACAGCTAGGGAGGAACTGAGGTTTTCAGCCCTAAAGGTCACGAGGAATTGAACCCTGCCGATGAAAATGTGAATTAATGTGGAAGCAGCTTCTCCAGCTCAGCCTTCAGATAAATCCTAGGCAAGAGCTTGGCTGTATATTCAGCTAAGTACTTATAAGCACATGCATGTGAGGAAACTATTAAAGTCTGGGGCATAACTACTAGGAAGGAACAGGTGGTGCAATCCCAAGATTACATGGGGCCAGGGGCAGTTTGTATTTGAGGCCAGAGTGGACAAAACTCATACTATATCCAGGCATGGTGGTGCATGCCTATAATCCTAGGATTCTGGCAGGCTGAGACAGGAGGATCACAAATTCAAGCCCAGGCTGGGCAATAAAAATACACACACACACACACAAAGCTAGAAGTAGTTGAGTGTGAAAAACTTGGGTTTAATCCCTAGAATCAGGAAAATAACAACAAAAGAAAGTGAAAAACCCCTATGTACAGCATGTCAACTAGAGTACACAGAACAACATTGTTTCAGCAGTGGGAAAAATTAGCCCTGGACTAGGGTAGAAAATACAGTGGCTGAGACAAAAAGTGTGCTGGATGGAGTTAACAGTGGGTAAGACCCTACAGAAGAAGAAATGGGCAGCTTTGAAGACATAACAATAGGTAATATCCATAATGAAACACAGAAAGGAAGACTATGGGTAAAACTTTGGTGGTGAGCTTAAGACAGCTTCCAGTATCCTAAACAGGAGGACCTTGAAGAAACAGAGAACATAGTTAAAGATACAATGGCTGAAATGTTGCCAAAATTGGTATAACCTGTAAATGAATAGAATCAAGCAGAACCCAAATATAGAAATACCTGTATAAGGAAAATTATATGAAATTGCTTAAAACTAGTGAGACAGAAAAAAATGTTAAGAGCATATAGAGTATACTAAGTATAAGGGAATAAGATCAGGATGGAAAAAAATCAGGTGGTAGCAGACTTCACATTGAAACAATGAGATTGAGAAGACTGTAGGATTTAGCTCAGTGGCACTGCTGCCTGCCTCACAAGTGCAAGGTCCTGAGTTTGATCCCTGATACAAAAAAAAAAAAAAAAAAAAAAAAAAAAAAGGGGGAAGCCCTGAAAAGCCTATAATCTATGACTAGTGAAAAATATCTTTCAAAAAGTAAAAAAAATTTATATGTAAGAGCTGAGTGAATTCATCAGTGATCAACTTGTATTACTAAAAATAAAAATGTAAAAGGAAGTCCTTTGGGCAGAAAGAAAATAGTACGAGATGGAAATCTGAATCCTGAATCCTTATAAAAAGAATGATGATCTCCAGAAGTAATAATTATGTGGATAAGAATAAAATACTTTCTCCCTTGTTTTGAAATCCTTTCAAGCCAGGGGTGGTGTCACATGCCTGTAATCCTAGCACTTGGGGGGCAGAGGCAGGAGAATTGTCGTGAGTTCAAGGCCAGCCTGGCCTACATAGTAAATTCAAGGCCAGGCTGAACTACATAGTAAGACTATATCTAAAACAAAACAAAACTTAAAAAAAATCTTTCAAAAGGATAATTGCTTAACAAAGAAACCAGAATAATTATTTTGGGGTTATAATATATGTAGAAGTAATATTTAGGTCCACAAAGGCTAGAAAAAGGAAACTAGAAGCATACACTTCCAAGGTTCTTATAATATTTACAGGAAGTACTTTATATTACTTGAAGGCAGACCATAATGTTAAAAGATACATTCTATAAACTCAAATGCAATTGCTGGAAAAATAAACTCCAAAAATATACAATGAATAAAACAGCAAGGAAGATAAAATGGAACTGCAACAAATAATTTCAAAGGCAGAAAAGGAAGATTAAAAAAACACAAGAGGTGAGATCAATAGGAAACAATAGCAAGATGATAGATTTCAACCAATAATCACAATAAATATAAATAGCCTAAATAACTCAATTAAAAAGAGGCCATAGGGGCCGGGGATTTAGCTCAGTGGTTCTACTGCCTTCCTTGCAAGTACAAGGTCCCAAGTTCAATCCCTGGTACAAAAAAAAAAAATCCATAAGCTGTCTAAAAGAATATTCTTTAGATATAAAGATAAACTGGGCATGGTGGCACACACCTGTAATTCCAGCACTTGGGAGGCTGAGGCAGGAGGATTGCCACAAGTTCAAGATCAGCCTGGGCTACATAGTGAGTTCAAGGCCAGCCTAAACTACAAAGCAAGATTCTGTCTCCAAAAAAAACAAAAAACAAAAAATACATATTCTCAATAGAATATGGAATATCTTTGCCAAGATAGACCATGCTGGGCCATAAAACTAGAAGTATTATGAAAGTTAGGTTCCCTGATAATGAAATTATGTTAGAAACCAATAATATCTTTATCTCAAAAAACCTAAATGTTTGGAAATTACAAGATGAATTTACAAAGTGTTTTGAACTGAATGGAAATACAAATGCATGTGTTAGTCATATTTTTGTCACTAAGATGAAATACCTGAGGGAGGAAAAATAAAGACGTTAAACATGGTAGTGCATGCCTGTGATCCTAGCACTTTGGGAGGATGAGGTAGGGAGATCAAAATTTCAAGCCCAGCTGGGGCATTAGTGACTTAGTAATACCCTGACTCAAAGAAAAAAGGCTGGAGATGTAGCTCAGTGCAAAGTCCTGGGTTCAACCCTTAGTTTTAAAAAAAAAGGATTTATTTCAGCTCATGGTTTCAAAGGTTTCTGTCCAAGGTGGAAACATCGTAGTGGAAGGATAGAACAGAGGGAAGCCGCTCACCTCATGGCAACCAGGGAGCAGAAAATGAGGAAAGAGCTGAGGACCAGGGATAGTCCTCAAAGTCATACCCCATGAACCGTTTCCTTCGGCTGGGCCCCACCCATTTCCACCACCTCCCACTAATACTATCAAATTACAATCTTGTCAGTGATTAATCCACTTGATGAAGTTAGGAGCCTCTTGACTGAATCACTTCCTTAACACCCATCAGCAGCTAAGCCCTTTTGGTGTATCATATCCAACCGTAATACCACATGTCAGAATTTTGACATGCAGCTCAAGCACTGCAGAGAAAGAAATTTATAACCTAAATGTCTGCAGTATAAAAAAAGACTCTCAAGTTAAAGACCTATGCTTCCATCTTTAAAAATCAGAAAAAGTAAGCAAGAAAAAAGAAATAACAAAGATAAGAGTAGAAATAAAAAGTGAACAGAGCAATTGAGGAAAATCAATGAAGCCAAAAGCTGTTTCTCAAAAAGATCAATAAAATTGATATGCCAGGGCTGGGGATGTAGCTCAGTGGCTCTGCTGCCTGCCTTACAAGCATAAGGTCCTGAGTTTGATCCCCGGGACTTAAAAAAAAAATTGATATGCCATTGTCAAACTGATCAGAAAAGTCAGAAGACCAAAAATTACCGATATTTCATAAAAAGGAAAGGTCGTTGTCATCATCGTCATCATCATTGAACCTGCTGCTCTGAAAAGGCATTCTCTGAGCACTTACCCTAGAGAGATGAAGACATATTTACTTCAAAACCTGTGTATGCTTGTTTGCAGCAGCTGGCCTACAGGGGAGCAGTGTGACATACTGGTACACACATACCATGGAATCCTCAGCAATGAGAACTATTGCTACACACAATCTGGATCTCCAGGGAATTAATGCGGAGTGAAAAAGAAAACACCAAATCTAAAATGTCACATGTGATACATTTCTGTTTAAATAAGTTTTTTTTTTGGTACCGGGGATCGAACTCAGGTCCTTGTGCTTGCGAGGCAGGCGGCGGAACCTCTGAGTTAAATCCCTCGCCCTAAATAAGATTTTTGAGATGACAAAGTTTAAGAGTAGAGCCTGGCCAGGCATGGTGGTGCACATCTGTAATCCTGGCACTCAAGAGGCTGAGGCAGGAGGATTGCTGCAAATTTGAGGCCAGCCTGGGCTTCATAGTGAGTTCAAGGACAGCCTGAACTACATAACAAGACCCTGTCTCATAAAAATAACAAAACAAAACAAACAGGGCTAGGGATTTAGCTCAGTGTTTCCACCACCTGCCTTGCAAGCACAAGGACACAAGTTTGATCCCTGTACCAAAAACCAAAAAGCAAAACAAAACAAAAAAAAAGAAAGTAACTTGTAATTTTGCCAGGCGTGGTGGCGCACGCCTATAATCCCAGCACTCGGGAGGCTGAGGCAGGAGGATCACTGTGAGTTCGAGACCAGCATGGGCTACACAGTGAGTTCCAGATCAGTCTCAACTACATAGTGAGACCCTGTCTCAAAAAACCCAAACCAAAAACCAAACCAAACCAAACCAAAAAAAAAAAAACCAAATGTCCGTTTCTGTCTGCTGATAGTATACAGGATTTTATGTATTTATCACAAACCCTTCGATCTTCTCTCAAATGCCTTCTCCATTGTGGAGCTTTGTCCTCCTCAGTATTAGCCCAACACCTAGTCAATGGAAATGGGAGCTCCTTGAATCTAGGAGGGTCCATCCCAAGGTCTGCACACGATGGGCATTGAGTGAATATTTGAGAGGTGGATGGCTGGGGAGGGAGGCAGGGAGGGAAGGATGGGGAATTGTGCTTGTACTCATCTCAGTGAGCGCTCCTCAGGAGCCACACGCCACGGTGCTCTGCATGCTCCCAAATGTCACCAGCAGCTAGGGCCTTCATGTGTTGGATCCATCAGGAGCTCGCGGCACGCCAGGCATGGGGCCAGGCTGCGCACAGGCGGCCATACACCTTGCAGCCCTCTTCTCTCCCCCTTGTCCAGGAAACTGATTTCTCTGTTGTGTTGTTTCTCAGGTCTGTTAGCCACGTTCTTTCTTGGGGCCTTTGCACTTGCCTCCTGCATTACCTGGAACATGTCCTCAGATACCTGCTGGGCTTGTTCCCTCACCTCTGTCACTGTGCTCCAGCGTCACCTTGGGAAAGCCTTCTCTAACCCTTGCATCTACGACAGCCACAGCACCATCTCCTCGTTTTGCTCTCAGCACTCATCACAGCAGGCTCCACTCCAGGGTCAATAGCTATGTTTTCCCACTCTCATTTAATGATTTTTATACCATGTTCTAGCGGGGAACCGTATTTGGGATTAATAATAATAATAATAATGTCACATTTACTGGGCACCTCGTAGGTACCATCCAGGTTGGTAATGCCTTCCACAGATGAACCCACTCAATCCACATCGCGCTACTCTCTGGGAGAAGCTCAGCCGCTTGCCCCGTTTTCTTTCCCTGTGGTCCCGCAGTGTAGACGGGGGCTGCCATAAGGGGGCTGTTGGTAAGTCTGCCCAGTTACCTGTGTTCTTCTGCTTAGTTTCGTGGATGACCCTGACAGGCTTCTGCACATCCAGATAGAAGATTCCTCAGAATCCAAGATTTTTCCCTTCTTACGCCACCTCTGTCACTTCATCGGTAAGGAGCATTCCCTGACCCTTATCTAGGAGGTAGGCTGTGGTGTCTCCTCCTCATGCCTCTCCCTGGTGTGACTCCCAGGGCTCAGGACAGGGAGGGCAGGGCCTTCCCACACCTGGCCCAGTATGGATGGGCCCTGAGCAATGTGAGCAGCCATGGTGCTTCCTTTGCGGGTAGTGGGTCTGAAGAGAACACAGACTGTGGCCGAGCTGCCTGTGTTCTGGCCCTGGCTAGACTGCCACGCCCTTTGGGTTGTGGGTACGTGTGTCATGGAGGCCTGTGCTGTGCTGGAGTGCCTCTGTGTCCAGCCCTGGTCAGCCCTGTGGATGGGGAGGAAGATTCCCAAGGCCTTTCCAGCCCTGACATCCACAGTGCCCCTCTGCCTTCTGCTCTGCACAAGTGATACGCGCCAGCTGCTTAACTCACTGAGTGGATCTTCATCTCCCCCAGTCTTGGGATTGTCTGGGGGAGCAAGGCTGAGTCAGGCATGAGCCCCACCCCATGCTTCCAGCCTGGCACCAACAGGACCCCTGGCCTGAGCAGTGAATAAGCAATCGGAAACAGCACTGTAGTCACTGTCCCTTATTTGCCCAGGAGATCACCACTGTCACTTGACTAAGACCCAAGTCTCAGATTTCTTTGTGCCCTAACTTGAGATGGCAGAGCCTTATGGCAGGGAGAGGCCTCTCCCTAGCCTCACCTCACTGGATAGCTCTAGGCCAGCCCTTCACTGATTGTGCCTCAGTTTCCTCATCTGTGCCATGAGGGGGTTGGTCTTAATCATCTCCAACTCCTCTTCCAGCTTTGACAGTCTGACTTTTTTGCACTTGGTATGTTTATCCTCAGTTCTTGGGGACTCCCAGGCCAGCCTGGGGTTACAGGGGTTACAGGATTAGAGCTGGTATTTCTATGCCAGGCACTGGGCTAAGCACAGAATAGAATAAGGGACAGGAAGGTGGTATGTTATTAACATGCTTACCCAATGAGGAAACTGTGGCTTAGAGGAACTTGCCCACATCTGGCCTGCACTGGCTCTGCTGCCACCTGTTGTCTTTGAGCAGTGGTCTTGTCATCCTTAGGCCAGCTGGTGGCAGGGCTTTCTGGGCAAGAAGCCTGGACAGCTAGGAAAAGGTCTTGGCCTGATGACGCTGGTGCCCAGGCAGGATTCTCTTGAGCTGCCAGCCAGGTCTGAGGAGCCCCTGTGCTGACTAGACAGTGTCCTAGAGAAGCCATGTGACTCGCCCCGGACCTGGAGCACTTGTTAAGAACTCACTCTTGGACCACAGGCCCTCCAAGGCCATTGTTCTGACAGCCACCCAGTACCACAGGGGAGAGGACTGTGTACAACTCCACCCCTTACTCACTCCCTTCTTTTCTTCTGCAGAAATTCACCTCCACCTGGGCTCTGTTGTTCTGGTCTTTTCCACACAGGGCATCAGTCGCAGCTGTGCAGCCATGGTGGCTTTCCTCATGCATAAGAATCAGGAGACCCTGAAGGTCAGTGTTCTCCCCATCAGGCTTGGGCCACAGCCACCCCAAGGAGGTGTAGTCAGAGCTGGACCTGGGAGACAGGACCCCCAGCCCTGCCTGGGGCCCTAGTTGGGGGTGGGAAGAGGAAGGATGAGGGAGGGGAATCCAAATCTAGGGTGTCACCCAGCACCTGGCACCCAAGGGCAGGGTCCCAGTGCTACAAGCTGGAGGGCTGAGGCTTCATACAAAGAGCTGATAGGGACAGGCTGCAGCCAGCAGCACATTGAGTGGCTCCCCCACTGTCCCCGTGTCCACTAGGTTGGCCTGGGAGTTTTCCAAGCTACTTGGAGTCACAGAACTGCAGTGCTGGCAGGGCTTCAGCAGGTGTCCACAGGAACAACTTCCTTCACCTTGAAAGCAGGGGCCAGACAGAGAGGGAAAGAAGGGGGCCATCCTGCAACCTGAAGGAGAACCTGGGGCTCCCCGGGCAGTGCTTTCTCAGGGGCCCGTTCTTGGCCTTAAAACAGGGCACCCCCATTCCCCAGGCCACAGACTGGTAGTGGTCCAAGGTCTATTCCGAGCAGGTCACACAGTGGGAGGTGAGTGGTGGGTGAAGGAGTGAAGCTTCATCTGTGTTTCCTGCCACCCCCGTTGCTCACAATACTGCCTGAGCTCCGCCTCCTGTCAGATCAGCAGTGGCTTTAGATTCTCACAGGAGCACGAAACCTACTACGAACTGTGCAGGTGCAGGATCTAGGGCACAGGCTCCTTTGACTCATCCCCAAACAATTATGTAGCCCCAACCGCTATGTGTAGAAAAATCGTCTTCCATGAGATCAGTCCCTGCCAAAAACTGGGGATCACTGTCTTAGAAGACTTGGGTGAGATCCTAAAAGCTGCTGTATTTGCCAGGGCTGTGTTTAAGGGGAGAGAAATGGAGGGAAAGAGAATAACCCTAGCCAGAGCTTACTGGCCAGTGGTTTGGGAAGCCCATGTGATCTCTGGGAGCAGTTTCACTTCTGGGTCTGCACCCCAGAGAAGTGGAAGCAAGCACTCATACAGATGTTTGCACACCTGTGTTCACGGCAGCAGTATTCACCATAGCCAAGAGGTGGAAACAACCCACTGTGGATACAGAGAATGTGCTATATACACACAGTGAAATATTATTCACCCTCAAAAAGTAAGGCCATTCTTTGTGGTGCACACACCTGTAATCCCAGCATTATGGGCAGGAAGATCACAAGCTTCAGCCCAACCTGGGCAACCTGGTGACTTAGTGAGACCCTGTCTCAAAAAATGAAAAAAGGACTGGGGATATATAGCTCAGTGAAAAAGCCCTGGGTTGAATCCCCAGCACCCCTACACATACGCACACACACACACACACACACACACACACACACACACACACAAAAAGATAAAACTTCTAACACATGCCACAACCTGGATGAACCTTGAGAACAGGGTGCCCCTGGACCTGGAGAACCATATCAGAGGCAGAGGGCTGAATGGTACTGGACAGGGCTCAGGAGGGCACAATGTACTTAGGAAAAGGTGGGGATGAAGAGTTGTGTTTAATAGGGACAAAATTTCATGTTAGCAAAATTAAAAAGTTCTGGTGATGGTGGTGGTGATGGGTATGATGGGTATGCAGTGATGTAAATATACTTAATTCTGCTAAATTGAACATAACTGAAAATGGCTAAACTGGTAAATTTGATGTTGTGTATATTTTACCCCAACTTTAAAAGAGCCTAGCGAGTGGGGTCAGAGGAGGAAGCGCAGATCCCTGTTCTCTCTCCTCGCCAAGGGGAGTTTTGGGGACTCCCTATGGTGGTGTCACTGCCTGCTTGAGGAGCATTATGTCCTGCGGAGGGCAGTGATGTCACTGGTAAGCGTGGGGGTGGTACAGAGATGACTTGGCCTCCCCCCAGGATTCTGTCTTGGAGGGGCCCTTTGGCTGCTGGAAGGAGGAGTTCTAGGGCTTGAGCTCCCCTGGAGCTTGAAAGAGGCCAGTCTAGTGACCTGCCCCAAACCCTGCCCTGTGCAGTCCCGGATTTCCATGAGAAGGTTGCGTGGAGCCCTCCAGCCCCAGCATGCGTATGTTCTCTAGCTATGACAAGAAGATTACGCATGGTCCTCTCTCCTGCCGCATGGAAAGCAGAGGGCATGAGCTGTTTGCTGGGGCTGGCAGGACAAGAGCCAAGTGAGGAGAACTCTTGTCCCACTCAGCTCCAGCAGCTGGGCCCTCAGGGTGATGGGGTTCATACAGGCCCAGTGCCTCAACCCTCATGGGCACTGCTGGGAGGTCCTCCTGTCTGGGCTTGGTTTTATGAGCTGTGATCAGTGAAAGGATGCACAAAGGGGCCCCTGAAGTCTAGACAACCCTGCTCTCAGGAAAAGCCCTGATGCCCCACCCTGGAGCAGCAGCCCTGCACTTATATATAGGAGGTCTTGTTGCCGGGTACTCCATTCAGATAACTCTTAGTTTAAAAAGCTGCACAGCCCATGGAGCTGTGGTCAAGAAGGACTGCCCTTATGCCCTGCACGGCTCTTAGCTTCTCCTGCTACCAGGTAGCACCCAGATTGCTGCCACAAGTTGGCTCAGGCTTGTCCCTGGGAGAAGTTCCTGTCTGCCATTGTTTGTGTGTGCGGGGGTGCTGGGAACAGGCTCCCTGTGTGTGGGGTGGGGGGGTCGTGGTGGTGCACAGCTCAGCTGTGATGATCAAAGCCCTTGGGACTTGCAAAGAAGGGAGTGGGCTGCTCGTGGGCCCCGAGGTACTGACTCCTGGGCCCCAGCTTGGCTTCTCAGATGCTGAGACTGGGTGTGGGGGCCAGGGAGTGATCAGCAAGAACCAGTGTCCTGAGTCTGTGGCATCAGAGCTACCGAGGACTTGCATTTTTAAAGCTTTGGTGCATGGTTGTGTGGGATCCCAGAGCCAGCGTGATTTTAAGAAGAAATTGAATTTAGTACCTTCAGGCTGCTGGGAGTAACCTTGTCCCTTTAAGATCTTATGGCGGGGTGGGGTGCCGACAACACTGGAAGGGTTATGGTAGCTAATGGTGGCACAGAGCTTTTAATTCTTTATGTGTAATATAAACTCATTCACAGGGGCCTGGCACTTAGGATGCTGCTCATGCCCCATTTTGCAGGCCACATAGAGAAGCTGGCTGACTTGTCAGAGGTTGTACAGCTCTAAACTGGGAGAGCTCAAATCCAACGCCAGTTGGCCCAGCTCTGGAATCCGGTCCTGGCGAGCGATGTGTGTGCTGGTGGTGGGAGACGGGTTTGTGAGTCTTCTTGAAGGCCTGCTCCGACCCAGCCAGAGCTGCACAGCTCTGCCTTCTGGTACCACTTAAAAAAAAAAAAAACTGTGGTAAAACACACATACAGTTTACTGCCTTAACCATTTTACAGTGTGTACTTCAGTCCTGCTCAGTACATTCACACCGTGCAGTCAATCTCCTAAACATTCACATCTTGTGAAACTGAAACTCTGTACTCACAAACGGCTGGCTCCCCAGCCCCTGGAAACTACCATTCTACTTTCTTTTTTCTTCTTTTTAATTGAGTTTATTGGTACATTTTAGGTATACAGTACAGTTACATTCATCATTGGGATCTTGTACCTTTACATGACAGGTCTTGGTTCTCATTTTTTCCCCTTAACCCAGCCCTTCACCCCCTCCTCCCCTCCCCATTTACAAACATTTTATTTCCATTTTTCATTTTCTCATATCCATTCTACTTTCTGTCTCTGAATTTGTCTATTCCAGGTACTTTACCTAATTTCCTTCCTTTTGAAAATATATTTCACTGTATATAAAATCCATCAGTAAGCCCATCTTTGCCAGGTGTTTTCTGTTTTGGGGGGTTATGGTTATTAATTAATTTGTAGTATGATGATTGAACCCAGGGCCTTCTCACTAAGCTACATCCCCAGCCCTTTTTTATTCTGAGACAAAGTCTTGCTGATTTGCTGAGGTTGGCCTCAAATTTCCATCCTCCTGCTTCAGCCTCCGAGTGCCGAGATTATAGGCACATATCACCATTCCTGGCTGAGGATTATTAATTATTAATTTCATTTCTTTAGTGTGTTTTAGAAGATGGTTGTTTTCAATAAATTGGTCATTCATATTTGTGAGCATAGAGCTGTTCATTGTATTCTTTTATTATCCTTTTAATGTCCATAGAACCTGTAGTGATATCCTTTTTACTCTCTGATATTCACAGTTTGTAACTTTTTTCCCCCTTAGCCTGGATGAAGTCTCATTGATTCTGTTGATCTTTTCAAAGAAACAGCTTTTTGTCTTGTAGATTTTCTTTATTGACTTCCTGTTTTCATTTTCATTCTTTTACATGTAGGTATCTAGTTTTTCCCAACACCATTTATGAAAAAGACTTTCCCTATTGAATGGTTTTGTGCTAGGTGCAGTGGTGCACACTTGGCCAGCTATTTGTGAAACTGAGGCAGAAGGATTGAAAGTTCAAGTCCAGACTGGGCAACTTTTGTGGGGGTGGTTATCGGGGATCAAACTTGAGTCCTTTTGGGCTGGGGATTTAGCCCAGTGGTTCCGCTGCTTGCCTTGCAAGCACAAGGACCCGAGTTCAATCCCCAGTACCAAAAAAACAAAACAAAACAAAAAAAACCCCAAAACACCCAAACTTGGGTCCTTCTGCAACTTAATGAGACCTTATCTTAAAATAAGAAGGGCTATGGATGTAGCTCAGCAGTACAATAATTGCTTAGCGTGTGTGAGGCCCTGTATGAGGCCCTGGGTTCAATCCTCAATGCTGCAAAAATCAGTGAAATAGAAACAAATAGCAGTAACAGAATCACAGGACCATATATGTAGGGTTTATCTCTGAACTCTCTTTTTTATTCCATTGGTCTATTTGATTCATGTCAGTACTGCACTGTTTCTATCACTATAGCTTTGTCATAAAGTTTTATTATTTTTTTGGTACCAGAGATCGAACTCAGGACCTTGTGCTTGTGAGGCAGGTGGCGGAATCACTGAGCTAAATCCCCACCCCTGTCATAAATTTTAAATCAATAAGTGTAAGACTTCCATCTTCACTCTTTTTACACATTTTTTTCCTTTGGGGCATTTTAGGGTAGCTTTTTTTTTTTAATTCTTTTTTTTTTTTTGAGACAGAATCTTGCTATGTAGCCCAGGATGGCCTCAAACTTGCACTGATCCTCCTGTCTCAACCTCCCAAGTGCTGGGATTACAGGCATGCACCACCATGCCCTGTGGCTTTTTCTTTTTCAATTGTGATAAAATACACATAAAAGCAAATTACATTTGATGAATGTGATCATTATGTATATCTAAACTGTACCAATAAACTTAATTTTTAAAACACATATAAAAGAACTCAGGCTAACTTAGCTCCTTTGATGAGTAGGACACCCACAGCCTTACAGCATTATTTCACACGTTGCACAACACTACACCTAACCCTTTCCAAACCCTTTACATTACCTAGAATAGAAACTTTTCCCATTACACACCCATTACCTTACTTACCCTCCCCTGCCCTGGGTAACCTCCACCCTACTTTGTGTGTATCTGTATTTGCCCAGTGGAGAGCTTTCTTAGAAGTGGACCCTACTATTTCCCCAGGGCTGTCCAGTGCAGCCCATGTTGGAGCTCCATGTTTGTGTGCAGCTGGAGACCCCTGTGTTTCATCAGCAAGTAGTGGTGTACAGTGTGCCCTTATAACTCTCTATTTCTGTGGAGCTGGTAGTAATGTTAGGATGGATTTTTATTTCCGCAAAAAAAAAATCCATTTGAGATTTTGATAGGACTTGTTTTGGATCTGTAAATTACTAGGATAATATTGACATCTTTACAATGTCAAACCTGCCAAGGGCCAGGGATTTAGTTCAGTGGTTCCACTGCCTGCCTTGCAAGCGCAAGGTCCTGAGTTTGATCCCCAGTAAAATAACAACAAAAAAAAACCAACCTGCCAATCTATGATGTGGAATGTGTTTCTATTTGCTGGTGTTTTCTTCATTTCTTTCAGCAATGCTTTGTAGTTTTCGGTGTATAACTTTTCACCTCCTTAGTTTTATTTTTAAATTTCATTTTAAATGGAATTATTTTCTTTGGATTATTATTATTATTACTATTACTATTACTATTCTTTTTGGTACTCAGGATCAAACTTGGGACCTTGTGCTTAAAAAGCAGACAGCGGCATCACT